TGATTAGTACATTTATTTTGTAACTCAACATTGCTTAATCCAGGTATCTCTACGAATTGCAAAGTAACACTGTCACTCCATAAGCGAGTTGTGTAGCTCTTTTCCATGGTTTGCCAATATCATTTCAATTTAGTATATTGTACCATAATATATTGTGAAAGTACTCAGAAATGTAAAAATATGGGTATCATGTAAAATGTACAGAAGAAATGTCTGATAAACGTTTGGTAATCCTGTAATATCACAATGTATTTTATATATCTTTGGAAGCCTGTCACATCATAACTGAAACATTTTAGTAGCCGAAATGTTTAATCGCTTAATCGTACCATCATGCGCTTAGATTTATGATGGTATCTCGTATTATATATATATATATTGTTTAGAAAATATATATATCTAGATTACCGTAGCCATATTCATTGTATGAATTGAATATGGCTACGGTAATTATAACTTTCGAAGCACATACACAAGTGTTATGCTAGGTCTAAACTTAACCATTTCTGAACATCGCGGGGAAATATAGTAAAATAAAACGAAAAATAAACCAAACGAAAACATACAATAAACATTTAAGGGCGTCGGATACCTATTTTTACTTAAATTATGAGTAAGTATAACTAAAATTATATTTTATTCCAGCATGCGGTATTCCTATATTAACGCTTTTTAATACACCCCGCTCATACACAAATACGAATGGCGATGAAACGAAAGTCGCCAAGCACATTCTGTAACCCTACGTTTCCTGTTTTAACCAATCAGAGCAAACCGTAATAGAAAGGTCTGTAGGCTTTGTGAATATGCACGTCGCAGTCTCTCATACTTGTATTTCATACAGCTTCAGTATTTTCAAAGATTTTTAAGCTTCAGCATTTATACAAATAAAAAAAAAATTTTCTTAATTTAAATTAATACTCTGGAACATATCAATTTTATCATATTTACAAAACGTTTTGTTACGTAGCGACATAATCCCTTACATACCAGTAACTAGACAATTTTCATTATTATCTAAAAATTTTAAACTTTAATGAAAGTGCTTAATGAAAGGCTTTAATGAAAGTACACTTAACAAAGTAAAGGAAAATAAGAGTTATTATTTGGTGCTTTTTAAACATTAATGAAAAATTAGTTTTCATTAAACATTAATGAAAACTAATATTTCATTAAAGCTTAGGTGCTTTTAAACATTAATGAAAAACAGGTTCTTAAATTCCTAAATCACATCATATTCTCTGTAGGCAGGCATACTAGAATTCTACGCATTAATACGAGTAAATAAAAAAATCTAATTTCTCACAATGAAAGAAAATATTATAAGAAAATAAATGTTACAAATTTGGAACACTAAGCAATGCTTCACATACACACACACACACATTATCAAAGAACTCATATTATCAAGTGCAATTACGATAGCAAACACTATGTATTATAATAATGAGGTAAAATTTCCTTATAGGATCAAAGTTTACAATTTTGCTACTGTTGAGTAGATCGTCGGGCTATCGATATATATCGTAAGTCGGAAAGCGTTATAAACATATCAAAAACAAACAAAAATTAAAAATACAATTTAAATGAAAAAGATGTCTTAAATATAATTCACGATTAAAACAACAATACAAATTTAAAATACACAAACGATATATTAAACATTGCATATAAAATACGTTACATTACAGCTCGGAATCACACAATATCTCGTTCTCCCTTGTACACAACGATCCGTATTCGCTCGAAAAAAACATCAAAGAATTGCACAAATCCGGTGTCCATGTACACATCCATCTATTTTCACCTTAAAAATATCAGAGAATTGCACAAACTCGGCATTGCGCACTACATTGGCTTTGCCCGTGTATACATCGATCTATTTTCACTTGAAAAACCTCCGAGAATTGCACAAACTAGGCACTGCGCACAACCTCCCCATTGCGCACTACATTGGCTTTGCCCATGTGCACATCGATCTATTTTCCCTTAAAAAAATTCGAGAATTGCACAAACACTGCACCGCGCACAACCTCGGCATTGCGCACTAGATTGGCTTTGCCCATGTACACATCGATGTATTTTCACTTAAAAAAGGTCAGAGAATTGCACGAACTCGGCATCGCGCGCAACCTCGGCATTGCGCACTACTTTCGCTCTGCCCATGAACACAGCGATCTATTTTCACTTAAGGTCAGAATTGCACAAATTTGGCATCGCGCACAACCTCGGCATTGCGCACTACCTTGGCTTTGCCCATGTATATAGCGATCTCTTTTCACTTAAAAATCAGACATGTAATAAACTCTGCATTGCTCATAAACTAAGAAATCTGCTTTCACTTAAAAGAAATCGGAGAATTGCAGAAACCCGCGCATAAGCAACTCGATTGATTCGTGTCGTAAAAAAATGTTTCCAGAAAAATTGAGCTTACTACAGGCGAACCAAGATTCTAGCCTAATTGATTTCTCAGTCCTACACTTTTTGCATCTCCAAATACTCATTCGATGACTTTTTCTGACTAACTAACCAGCATGGTATCTTACATTTTTCACAACGAACGTAATAATCCACAGTGCATCAAAAATCCTCTAAAAAGTCATACTCTCTTGTTAATTCATGCATAAAATATCTTTTCCCAAACTTTTACGCTTGCTTGAAAACTCCCACCAGAAATTCTCCTTTAAAATCTCCTGATACTTAATTACAACATCACTACAGCAGTTTTAGAGCAAGCAATAACTAAACGCAAAAATATTACCTCCAAAGTAGCCAAAAAATATATACAAAATAGTATTCACGGTATCTAAGCGTTAAACAATCGCCAATAACAGTGTTACGAATTGTGTATTTAGATATTAATTTTAGTAGAATTGTAATAAAAAAATGTTGTATTTCCTCCCTGCAACGCAGCGTGAGACAAATTTTAAGGGAATAGTATGCCGGAAAAGTAAGAATACAGAGCACGTGCATTAAATATTGAGTAAACGGATATCTCGGTAATTTGTATTGAAATTGAATAAATGTAACTGACTACTATATTAGCTGTAACCGTAATTCCGTCCTCTTGTTTACATTGCGTTTGGCGAAGAGTTTGGGTTACCACATCATATCATTTATCGCCTCTCTTGGCGATATTTGTTTTTTAAATCCGGGTGTGCTAGACTGAAGCTGTGCCAAACAACATTTTTAACAAAAAATTAATCCATTATTTTAGCGATATTTATTTTTTTAAAGATTCGAATACTTTACTATACGTGAACTACGTAAAAACAGCATTTTTCAAGGAGGCTGACGACTGTAAAAACCACGCCAACAATTGCCCCAATGTAAATCGCCAAAAATCGGTGCAACCGCCTACCAAAGTAGCACCAGATAAAATATCATTAATTATACTAAATATCATTAATTATACTTTGCTTTTCAGAATTTTTTGTTTTTTGTATTCTTTTATGTTATTTATTGCTCATTTCACTGTTTTTAAGATAGTGAAAAGTTTTGAGTGATTTTTTTTTAGGAAACAAAATCCTTAAAACCTCCTTTATACCATTTGAGTTCTTAAGATTTTGCAAAGAGAAGGTGGTTAATTTATTTATTAGGATAATTAATATTTGTTTTAAGAGATATTGCTTATTTCATTGTAATTTTGTTATACGTAATAACTTTTTTTTTATGAAGTTGTTCTGCAGAGTAAAATTTTACGCAGTTTTTAAATTTAACGTTTGTTCCCTTCAGCCATTTTTCTGGTACATTTAAAAGCCAGACGAAGGCTGGCAGCGAAACTGATAGTAACAGCAATAAAAATAAGAACTGAACTAAGGAATGAGTTAATAAGCGATGAGTTTTAGTATGAATGCCATATATTCAGATTAATTTATGGAGATATTAAATTATGAAATCCCAACGTGCCTTATTGGCATATTATCATATAGTTTCATGTTACTGTAATATGCAAGGTTAATAAATCCGTTCAGTTTATTTGGGATTCGTCATTTTGCTTTTGTGAATAATATATGAATTGTGGATTATGGCTGGTTATTTGGGCTGTGACTTTAGGGGGTTAACCTCCTTGCTCTGACTACACCATGGAGGATAGAACCTATTCTAACCTCCATGGACTATACTTATAAACTACTGTAGAGAAAATATGCCAATGCCAGTGATTATACGTTACGGAGTGCCTAAGGTTCAAAACCATGTACCTCCACATCAGAAAAATAATAAAGTAGTGAGCAGAAATAGGAAAATTGCACAATTGGTTATCATGATGTACACTAGAGGACTCTGCATTAGCTCGAGAAAGTTTAGGGATAGGTCACGGAGTATAATGAAGGAGGTAAAGCTGCCTAGTAGAAAAACGGCCCTAAAATGTCGCGTTCACTAGATGGCGCTGTTGTTCCATCTTAGTAGTTCCAAATGTAAACATTTATCGAGTAGCCAGGCGGCGAAGCTTACTGCCGAATGAAAAATGTTTATGTTTTTAATGTCATGGATTGCGTTATTATCAACGTTATAATATTCTGCTCACTAATGATTGTATTTTATTCCTCAAATTATAAAATTAATTTACAGCTTTCATGCTGTAAGGCTTTCATGCTGTTGTACTTTTTATGAATGATTAATTTAATGATTATTTTTCAGTCCCTCCCCCTCAGAAAAATAATCATATTACTAATAATAATACTTGCTGTATATATGTTAAATTTTATACTCCATGGGATAGGTAAAGATCTCCTATATATCTCTAGTTGCTTTAAGTAAAAAGAAGTCCATGTGCTGCCATCTATTAAGGATGACAGCAACTAGAAATTTGAGGAAAAAACTTACTGAAGAAGGAAAAAGTATTCTTTGCAGAATACTGAATTTTCCCATGTTAAAAATCATGATTGTTCATCTATTATTATTACTGTTCTTTTATTTTTAATTAAATACTTAATTTGCTCTAGCAAAATATATTTATGAAAATTTTTGTCAGCTGCATTCTTAAATCGAAACTAACTTCAAACCGTAACTGTATTTTAGTGTTATCAAACAAAAACAATATGTATTATTTTCATAAGCATACTTTTATTTAATTGTACATTACGATAAATAATATGTCATTTACAGACGGACCTGAATGTTGGGAGGTGAGTTTTAATATTGCCACATCTTAAATTTTGTTATTAAACTGAATCTTATTTAAATTGCATCGCAGATACGTCTGATAGTATAAAAATCCAAATATATGGAAGAAACGGGGACCGCAACCAATGCAGGTATTCGGAAAATTTCATTGGCGGGATGACGCTGAGAAACTTTATATTTTAGTTTATAATATTTGATTTCAACAACGATTATACACTTCAAAAAAAAAAAGATGTAATTACACATATTAAAATAGTGTAATTATATTTTATTTGCTTAAACACGTACCTTAAGCAATCTAAAATGAACCCATAAAATTTTATTTATATGAATTATAAAATAAATCTTGTTACCTTATTTTAATTTTTACTGAATTAAAACTAAGGCATGTTTTTAGGGTTCATAAAATAAATACAAATGCATTTCTGTTCAGTTAAAATTAAACTAAGGTATTCTTTTTTTACAGGAGGCATATAATCAAATTTTTTTTTTTTTTCATTAATGTTTGTAGAGTACATGCTTATTGAAATTTGTAGATTAATTTTGATGATATACACATTTGTATATCATCAAAATTAATCGCATTCGTATAAATTAATTCACTACGTGATTAAATGGTGTGCAGTGTATTAAATTATTACATAAATTGAAGAAAAAAAATTTAAAAACCAGCATAATGGTTTGGTAATACACTAGGAGAGAAAACTTCTGAATTAAAGTGCCTCCCAAAGCTGGCATTGGAATGTATTATGATCCTGTGTCCCAATTCTACCTTAATTTAGAAATGTAATAGATAATCATCTATTTCATCTTCAGGTTTATAAGTGTTTTCCCTCTTTGAGTGAACATACTCTTTTATATTTAAGCGCATGACAGTGAAACTAGCACAACATGCTTCAAGTAAAAGTAAGTAAAATTAGCCCATAGAATGTTAATTATCGCATGAATGGAAGTCTGAAACTTCGCAGTAAATCAAAGGAAGTACTAGTGTGTAATTTTCTGACGTCTAGCAGTAATTCAGATATTATATCCTGAAAGCTGAATGCTAATTTAATCTGAGATCCAGACATTTGGATTCCAGTTAATTGGATTTGGTTAGATTTAATATTAAGATTTTCTTCATAATCAGATGGTAAATACTATTGCGTTGCTATTAATTTATCTTCTTATTGTTTTCAATTTACTATTTATTTATTTTTTGCCATAATAATATTTTATGATATCATGGGTAGCTCTTTGCATTCAATATTAAATTCGCTTTTAATAATTAACTTCATAGGGAGTTTATTCTTACATGGATATTGTTTAGAATACACATGTAAAATAGCTATTTGATTCTTCAGGATAGAAATAAATATTGAAAACTTCTAATTTCACAACGTAATGATATTTAATTTGCCTATTAAATTGATATCAAAATGTACTTTTTGTTTTCTGATGTGATTCACGGTTTATAGTAAATAACAATATTCTCTCTCTCTCTCTCTTTTTTTTTTTTTTTTTTTTTTAGTTTGTTAAAAAAAACATTATTTTCAATTTTTATTTAAGAATATTATTTATATTTAAAATAATAACATTATTTTTAAATAATAAGTAATATTCTTAAATAAAAATTGAAACAACAGTTTTCTTGTTCAAATGCTATTTAAGATTTTTAAGTTAGAAAATTTCTCAAAAGCAATACCAAATCAGAAATAAATCCTAAATGCATAATTCCCTGGCTAATTAATATTTTCATCTACCTTTCACCCACATTCATTGTAAGTTTTCTAACAAACTGCACCCAGTTTTGTTTTTGCACAGATGATAGGTTTCTTGGGGGGGGGAGGTTAAAAAGTGGAAAAAGTACAGTGCATGTAAAAAATATGGTTGGTCCAGGTATGAGCATCTAATATAAATAGTATGCCATTTTCAAATAAATATTATCAGAGTTTTTATTAACACTTTTATTTATAATAATACTACCTAATTAAATATTTAATTACTTAAGCTTGTTATATTAAGACAACAAAACACTTCTAACTGTGAACATTAAATAAGAGACCAGAAGTAGCATATTGATGATGATGGAGAAATTTTGTGTAAATTAATACTATTGCTTTATTATAGATGTAAAAGTTTTATACAGTACTTACACTTACTAATCTACACAGTCCAGTCACATTAACCTCTTCGTCGTCCGTAACTCATCTAGCGCGTTCAAGGGAAACTTCTGCAGGGCGGCCGTAATGCACTTCAAGCGTTCTTCTACATTTTAAAACTTTTCAATGTTTAAAACACTTTCTAAATGTTTACTTAATTGAGTTTTTATTTTTGTTTGTTCAAATACCTCCTAGAGGGCAGTTCTAATCAGGCATTCTATTTCTAATTGAATTACACCCCCTCAGGTTTTATGAATATTCGCGCCATTTTACACAGGATACAAGACAGTGAGAGATCGTCAACTCAGGAGAAAAAGAGAAAAAATGAGGTTGGGAATTGGAAAGACAAGAAAGATGTACGTTTGATGAGTACAGTACATAATAACTCTATGAATGATGTTGAAACACAAAAAAGAACTGTAAAAGACCAATAATTGTAAAAGATTACAACAACAAAATGGGAGGAGTGAACCGCCTGGATCAGATGCTATCAAATTAATCCTGCTGTTAGAAATAAGCAGAGATATTATTACTTTTCCATTATGCTTTATTTCCTTATAATTTTAATTAATATTCATTTACATTCATTCACTACGGAAGTTATGTATGTACAGAGAAAACAACATTACACGCTGTGAAAAACAGGGCCGCTGGGGAGAAATTTTCGAGGACGGCGAGAGGGTTAATGTGACCACTACCTACTTTAGATGTCAACATGAAACAACCAATCACTGAAGGCAGGTGGCAGCACATTGCAGTGGAGCATATATAAAGGGTGTTCAAGAGAATCGGAAAACATTTGTCGCACCAGCTGTGCGATGTCTCCAGCATAAAGTGGAAGAAAACATTGCAATCATTGGAGTAACGCAGGAACGGAACGATTTATCTGACGTCCAAAAGGGCACGATCATTGGCTTTTGGGACAAGGTTAGAAGCATTTCCGAAATGGATAATTTTGTAAACTGTTCGCATGCTGCCGTGGTAAAAGTATGCTGTGCATGGCAAAATGGCACTATCCAAAATCTGCAACATGGGAAATGTGGTGCACCATGGACCATAGAATTTAGAGGTGTACGACGGCTGCACAGAGACATTTGACGAATAGATGTGTAACCGTTGAGCAATTGACTGCTCAGATGAACCAAGGGGCCTCTAAATGATGGCTCAGCTAAAATTGCTGCGAATGGGCATCCACAGCAGATGCCTGGTTAAAGTACCTGTGCTGACTGCAGTTCATCGGCGATGAAGATTGGAATTTACACACCAGGACTGCAACGGATGTCCACTAAGTGCCAACAGGTGGCTTTTTTCAATAAATCGTGTTCCACTGGACAGATGGACATTGGCGTATATGGGTGAAACATAGGAAAGCAAACACTCTGCAACAATTGCCAGAAGGGTCCAAGCTGGAGGAAGAAGCATTATGGTCTAGGGCAGGAATGGGCAAACTTTTTTAGTCTTTGGCAGACCAAGATAAATTTTTCTAAAACTTAAAAAACAGTATACAAGTATTACAATTTAAATATGTTAATGAGATGAATGAAATTGCAATTTCAGTTTTAAAAGTTCATTATATTGAGGTTCGAAGTGAGATGTATTATTTTAAGGAACGAGGCTAAATGCTCCTCTGTCGCTCTACTTCTGAGATATTTCTTTCTAAGGTTCTTAGTTGAAAACACTTGTTCACATATATAAATGAAGCAAACATAGCACTGTTCTGTGCTTGAGCTATTAAATTTAGGAAACTCACATTTGATAGTGATTTGTAAAACCCTAACTTTGGCATATTTAGAAACAAGTGGTTGAGATGGTTTTTAGATTGCAACTCAGTTAATTGAAGCTGCAAATTTGACCTCACTGCTTCACAATTTACGTCGAAAGGCATGGTAAAAATATCCAGTTCTGTTTGAATGGCACTAAAATCTTGAAATCTGCTTTTGAACTCGAAATGGAGTTTTTTTTCAAGCCATCTTCATAATTCTTAAACTGCAAGTGCATGCACTGGGTCCAATGGACACATCCGATTAAATTAACCCTTCTGAAAGCACCACTATTTTTCCTAAGTGGTTGTGGTTCAGTGTAGTCTCCTCCAAGGTCACCCTCTTTGTGTTTCTAGAGTTTTTTACCGGAAATTTGATTCGAAGTTTTGTTTTGATTGGATCAGGTCTTTTAGACACAGCATGCCTATTCACATTGCTGTAAAGTAGTTCATGGTAGTACAGAAAGCTGCAAGCATGCCGTGTAATTTATCCTACAAAGAAGAAATGTTACGTTTGCAAAAATTATTAGATGATGTATCAACTGGTAAAGAATCCGTTGATGAAAGTCATAATTTGAATTTTTTAGTTCTCATGATACTGATTCAGAAATCGAGATGGATTCTGAAAATGAAATTGAGAATAATGTTTATTGCTTTATTGGGGGGGGGGGAATGGTTTAAAGAAAAGCCTAAAGCTGATGTTAGAACGCTTGCTCATAACTTTATTACTAACATGCCTGGAAACATCGGTAAGGCAAAATATGTGCAGACTCCAAATGAATCGTGGGAGCTTTTACTAAGTGAACAAGTGTTGCTCAAAGTTGTCAGTTATACAAATATTTGTATTGCATCTATTTCTGACAACTTTCAGAGAGAAAGAGATGCTCGTCACACTACTCTAATTGAAATTCGCACTTTTATAGGTCTTTTATATTTTTGTTGTGTTCATAAGTCATCTCATGTAATATGCGGGATCTGTGGGCAACAGATGGAACCAGCTTAGAAATTTTCCACAAAACTATGTCCTACAAACATTTTTTTTTATCAAGATGTTTGCGTTTTGATGACATAGGAACTCGCGTCATCAGGAAACAATAAGCTT